ATGACTGGGTGAAGGACAAATGAAATAAGGGCTTCAAAATGTGCCTGAACCTATCAATACAACCTGCACAAGGCTTCCATTCCTGTGGGACCATTTTCTCAATCTGAGCCTCCCTCTGCCAACAGCCTTTCCATGATGTTTTTGCCTGCTGTTTGTTTTATTTCTGCTTCTCCCATGATTGCTCACAGGAAATATTCCTAGAGAAATCTCAAGGGACTGACTTCCTTTATGCTTCAGGACAGCAGATAGAGTCTGTTCTGTGGGCTGCCGTTGAGCTCCAGCCCTTGGGGGGCCTGAGGAAAGGACAGCTGCTCAGCCGCTCAGGAGGACAAGAAGTTCAACAGGAAGGGAATCCCAATAGAGATGCTGCTTCAGTAGCGCTGTCACAAGATCCAGTGAGAGGGCGAGAGATTGCTGCTTGCAATCCTCAGCTCAGCTGGGGCACTTTCCTTCTGTCTGCCTACAGAATGGGCACATCCGGAGCTCTGACAGCTTCTGAGGCACTGGGCCCTGGAGGAAGCTACAGCTTCTGCCCTGGAGTTCAACAAGAACCATTTGGCAGGGCAAGAGAAACAGGCCATCTGGAGAGGCCTTGAGGCCTCACAATTTGTACCAAGGACTCCCCTCACCTTTATCTACTGTTAAAACAGCAACAACATTGTAACAACATTAAAGGAAATATTTTTTAAAGGAAAAAAGATTATTCATGGTTTCATTGCCCTAAAAGCATTAACTGTTTCTCTTCTCATGTTTGGTTACAAAATAGAAAGTTATTTGGGGGGATCTGTGTTCTCTTTTTTTATTCTTATCTCTTAACATACATTCACTCACTTGTATTCTCTCTCTCTCAGCAAATATTCCAGCCAATTTGATTCAGGCATGATTAATGATTCCCTACCCTGTACTTTCTTGACCATGACCTTGGGTCTTTGAGGTTGGGTGTTAGCAAAGCTGTAAATGAACAGGTTTTTGGAAGATCCATCTGTGTCCCTTACAGATCTCCTTTTGCTTTAATAGCTATAACCATCCTCAACATGCTCCTTAAAATTGTGCACCCATTTGGGGGCCATTTAAAAACTAATAGTGTAGGTTCTATTTGTGCTTCAGTGTAAAAGCATTGCAGTAATGTTCATGTTTCCAAACTGGGAAATATAGGAAAGTAAAAGAAAATTAAAATCTGCCATAGTGTTGCTTCTCAACCTTCTATGGCACTGTTTTGACCCCATTTGTTTGCTCTTGGTCCCTCTTTTCCCACATCCTGTTGCCTTCCAGCTTCATTTCAGAAGCTAACTTGTGTCACACTGATGATGGCTGAATGAGTAAATCCTCAAGAGTATATGATCTTGAGGTCTTAGGGACTTGTTTAGGTGAAAATATGAATAAACAGATAAATAGAGCATCATTCGAGGCAACTGAGCTTGGCTAATTTAAGCCAAAAGGCTTTCATTGTCTCATATAATTGGACAGAGGCAGAATAGGGTTCAGGGCTGGTCTGATGTAGTAAATAAAAAATGTCATAAAGGTACCAGGCATGCTAGCGCTTGCCTGTAATCTCAGTATTTGGGAGGCTGAGGCAGGAGAACTGCTCTGAGTCTGAGGCCAGCCTGGACTATATAGTGAGTTCAAGACTAGCCAGGGCTACACAGCAAGACCCTGTCTCTCTCAAAAAAAGGCCAATAAATAAATAAATAACAAAAATAAAATTAAAATGTCCTAAGGGAAATGGTTTCTAATCTCGCTCCTCTGCTTCTTACAGCACAACTTTCTTCCTAAGATCAGTTCTTCCTGCCGTCCAAATGGCTATCTTATCAGCAGCTTCTGAGGCTGCTCACAGCCTGGCTTGTCTGGCAGGAAATGGAAGTAACTCTCCTCTACCATTCTATAAATTCTTGAGATTTCCTTTCATTTTGCTCATATGGCCACTGTTGGGACTGCTGTGGGTGGCTTAAACCAAGAGTGTCTCAAACTCTGGTCTTGGGCCCCTTTGTACTCCTAGAACTTCCAGAAATGACTGAGGATCTCAAAGAATCTTTTTATTTATTTATTTATTTATTTATTTATTTATTTTTGGTACCGGGGACCGAACCTGGGTCCTTGCACTTGCAAGGCAGGCAGCAGAACCACTGAGCTAAATCCCCGGCCCTGAAAGAATCTTTTTAATGTAGGTTTTACCTTTCATTGGTTTCCAAATTAGGATTTAAAACAGAGAAGTTTTAAATATTTGTTAATTTATTAAAATAATAGTGGTACAACACTAGCCCAGCCTGTGTGAATCCCTGGGTTTGATCGCTAGTGCAGAAAAAAGAATTAATAAACCCATTATATGTTAACATATTGATTTCAAAAATTGTTTTCCAAAACAAAAACATTTGCAAATCTTTTTAAAGTTACACTTCACAGAATATGGCTGGATGTTCATTTTGCTTCTGACTTCAATCTGTCGCAAATTGTTTTGGTTGAAGTACACGAAGACGACCTGGCCTCACATTGATATAAAACTGCAAAGGGCAGACATATCAGTATTCTTTTTCCTGTATTGGGGTTGAATCCATGGCTCACAAGGCAAGCGCTCTACCACTGAAGATATTTGTGGATACTCTTTGACATAACACATCTACAAAAACTACACATCTACTACAAAATTCTATGAGGTAGTTTCTTAAAGATTTGTTACACTGTGGAATCTGAAGCCTATGAACTTGTCATACTGTTAAATTAAAATCCATTGCCTGCCTGTTCTTTAAGTGGACCTGTACCCATGTAGGATTTTGTAACTGTCCATTAACCATTTGGAAAGCACTGATTTGCTGAGTAAACGTAAGTCTTCCAAACGATGACACTCTATACACTGTCCAAAAATCATATTGCTTAATATCAGAAAAATCCTTAAATATTGACAGGCCATCAAGCTCATGGTGGTTCAAGTTTTCCAAAATTCTAAATTTCTCTTCAAAATTGGAATTTTAAAAAAATCATTTGCAACAGTCAATTGTTTCTCCTAAAGATACAGGCTTTCTTAGTTCATTTTCAAGACAGTATCTTCCAAATACCCAAGTTGAAACAACTTCAGTTTGTCAGACATTTTCTTAAGTAAAAATGGTGTTCCACAAAGGACAACTAATTCAGGGTCAAAAATGGCGGCACATGTCTATAATCCCAGCACTTGGGAGGCTGAAGCAGGAGAATGGTGAGTTCAAGGACACCCTTGACCACCAAAGTGAGACTCTGTCTCAGAAGAAGGTCATCAAATCTATGCACTATTGGGGGATCTTTGGAGGAGGACTCATTTTGTGGCTTGAGGGAATCAACATCTCCCTCCACCAAATGTGGACTGGGTGAATGGGTAGTGATTGCTTACCTAACAGATGTTGTCTGAGGATAAGACAGAAGGCACCTTCAAGTTCCCTTTCTTCCTCACACCCACCTGACACACACCTTTCCAAGCCAGGGTGCTGCTGGTTCCCAAGGCCACAGTAATGCTAACAGAGCCTGGCTTTGCATTTGTAGTCATCTGGAAGGAAGGGAAGGAACAGTAGAATCAGAGAGAGGCAGAATGTCTGACCAAACAGGCAGGCCTTGGGCTGGTCTCCAACCAGAAGTCTTCTCCATGCAGCTGTCACCATCCTGGGCAGTTGCTCTGTCACACTAACCTTGCCCAACCAACGGGCTTTAGGTTTGCTGGTGACAGATTTTACTCCATTTTTTCCCCTAAAATGCTTCCAGTATCCTTAACTTACACTAATCCAGGTTCTATATTTTTCTGGCAAAACCTCTTCAGGAGGAGTGAAAGCAGAGCCCTCCCATCCCTTCCTTTCCAGTGCTTTTGCTCTTGATCTTGATTACAGAAATACATTTTTCCAGCATTCTAGCTCCTACCAAAGGAAGAACAGAGACTTCTCCAAACCAGCTGCTCTGGTTTTTCTTTTCCAAGAAGAGTGGTAAGGCTCTCGGTTTATGTGAATGTAATTTTGGCTCAGGATCTAGGATCTTCCTTTTCGAACCGAAAAGCGGTATCATAGACATGGCCCTGATGGTTTGAGTCTGATGTCACTCTGAAAGGAATTTTTGAATAGCTACAATGGCTTCACCTATGTTTCAGCAAGTCCTATGGCACAACACATTCATCTGTGTTAAAGAAGTAACACACTGGTGCTTTAAATTTTTTTAAATCCTGAATTTTGAGATTCACTATTTATATTTCTTAAAATTGTAAGACATTTCCTCTCCAGAATAGAGGAGGGGGGCATCCAGAGGTATGGAAGTGTTTGCTCCAAGCTTCCAATCCTGCTTGGGTGCTAAATGCCCCCAGTGACTTAAAGCAGCCGTGTTCTGGGCCTCAGTTACCCCATGAGTAAAACAAATTAGTTGGCTTGGATAATTAGCGCTGTTTCCTCCGACACGTGAAGAGAACATAAGGCTGTTCTGCAAGTCCCAGGACACATTCTGCCTACCCTGGTGCTGGCCTCGCGGGCCCTAGGGGCAGGGGACCAGTAACTGAGGACCCAGAGGAAGCCTGCCAGCATGGCACGTGACTACGTAAAGCCCCTTCATTCCCTGGCTCTGCAATTACCAGTCCTGTGCGCCGCAAAAAGCCCACAACCAGCCTAAACTTTTTGTTCCCGTTAGAGCCTTCCGCCATACAACCGCGCGCAGAGGCAGAGAGCAGAGGGTACGCGGAACGCAAGCCTGCCCTTCGTCCCGGAGAATCCCAGCTGCGGTAGGCTGGTTCCCCCAGCACCTCCAGGCAGAGGGGCGCGCGCCCCAGAGGCGGGGCCGCCCCGGGCGCCCTTGCGCTCCCCGATTGGCCGCCCGCGTCCACGTGGCTCCCGCCCCGCCCCCACGGACCTCCTCCGCATCTGCGGGCGGGCGGGCGGGGGAGTGGACGGCCCCGGGCTGAATGGGCGCGAGCTCGGCGCCTGGGGCGGGTGGGTGTGTGGGGCCCGGGGCTGGGGGCCGGCCGGCTCCCCCTCCTTAGTATGCGCACGAAGGTGGCGGGCGGCGCAGAGCGGCGGGCCCTGCACCAGCGAACCCAGGCGGCGGCGGCACCTGCCGGCCGAGGTACGTGGCACAGCCCCCTCCTCGGCGGAGCTAGGACTCGCGGGTTGGGGGCGGCGGCGGCGACGACCTGTCCCTGTCCTTGTCCCTGCTCCCGCCTGGCTGGGCCCAGTGGCTCTCCCCGACCCCGGAGGGCAGAGCCGTGGCCGCTGCGCCCCCGAATGCGCCGGGCTGGGAATTGGGCAGAGGGTCTTGGCCCGGGGCCTCGTAGACGGGGCGGAGACTCTGCGGCTCGAGCAGGTGTGGACGAGGAGGAGCAGCAGGGTCCAGCGGCCGGGATGGCGGGTCCAGCCGCAGTGGCCCCTTTGCTCCATGCTTTCCGCAGCGGCTCGGGGTTTAATTCATTGCTGGAAGCTTCCAAGCCCGCAGCGCCGAGTTAAGTCTTCTCCCAGGGACAGGCAGGCTTGGGGATCCTCCGCGGGGTCTCAGGCGGCTCCTGCCACCGTTGTCCGCATCCCTCGCGGAGGCGTGATATGCGATGTGCGTGGTGCCCTTCCCCGCGCCCTCTCTGCGGCCAACCCTGCGGAGGAGACCCGTTTGGGCGACCTTTCGGTGTATTGGGTATTGTGAGCGCTGGCTTAACATGGGCATGTCTGCATTGTGCGCCTTTTCTCGAGGTTTTCGGAGAACATCGCCTAGTAGACCAGCAAACAGAGAGGGGCGGCTTCCTGCCCGGACCCTTCACCAGCTAGGTCACCTTGGCAGACACTGATCTCGCCCGTGGGGAGCCTGGTCACTTGGTCTGTCCTGGAGGCTCAACCTGCTGATAGCTGTGGTTCTGACCGTTAAAAATGCATTTATCAGTGAAGAGGGCTCTAGAGAATCATTAGCTGGCCTGGAACAGGAATTTTTTATATCTTGCTGTCTTAATTCATGTACGTGACCATTGTTTACTTAAGTGTTTTTTATTCAAAGGGGAAAACAGTCTTTTGTGCTGCGCTTCATTCCAGCACCCATGGTTTACCTGCTCCTCGTGCCAAGGGCTGTGCTGGTTTTGGAGATATCAAAGAGAAAGGAGATTAATCTTCTGGCTTCTGCTATTTAGCCAAACCTTCCTTTTGGTTTATGACTGCTAATCCTCTTGTAGGGAAGATGAGGAGTCCTGGAACCGGGAAGAGGGATCCATTTCTGTTGAATAAAGGGGAGCAGGCTCAGATATAGTCAGGATAGGTCGTGGTTTCACTTGTGTAATCCTGAAGGTTTCCAAGCTCAGAGTGCTGACTACCATTTCCAGTTAGAGTGCCAGGAAGCATCTGACTTTCAACCCTTGGGTGGACAAAGAGGAATTAATCTGAACCGCAAGCACTGTAATCAGAATGTTGGGAGTCTTTGTACTTGGATGTCCATTCCATGAGTGCTACTGTTTCTGTAAGATGAAATGACCTTTGGAAGATTCTTGATTATGATTGGTAATATTTTGTCCTCTAGACAAGAAAAGAATATGGGTGAGAGGAGAAGGCACAGAGGAATTTATGAAAAATGGGGGACTGGCATGGATAAATTCTATAAGCTCATGTTTGACTATTATGAAAAAAAGATTTTTTTTTTTTTGGTGTTACTGGGGATTGAATCCAGGGCCTTCACACTGAGCTATATCCCTCACCCCTTTTTAATTTTTTTTTTTTTCAGACAGGGTTTCACTAAATTGCCCAGGCTGAACTCAAACTTTGAACCCTCCCTCCTCATGCTTCCAGAGTGCTGGGGATTACAGGTGTGCTGAAAATTCTTACCATTTTTGCACATGTTGCAAATTGTCCCATGTAACCAAAATAGATTGACAAGGATTTATTCAATGCAGAATAAGAATTTATTCAATGCAGAATAATTTATTCAGTGCTCCTTGTTCTTTCATTTGGTGCAGCAGTGAGGGGAGTTAGCTGGCTGGCTTTTAGAAGGTAGATGGAAAGAGGTTCATCTTCCATACCTCCTGACTCCTTAGGAGTGATTTAATCCTGCCTGTGGAGACAGGATTGAGATCACCCCCAGAGGGCATGCTTCGTGTTTTTAGTAAAGCTGAGAAGCTTTGGCAGAAGTGAAACAACTGGGAATACACACGGTTTAATAATGATGATAACAACTCCCTGACTGCTGAGGAAAGAGAAGCAAGGGCTGGATCAGTGTGGGTGGCAGAAGTTAGCAAAGGCATCCACAGGAGGTGGGGGGTGAATCACAGCCCTGGTGTGGGAGGAAGCCATAAATATGGACAGTGACACTTGCCTCTCCTGGCAGAGAGACCCAGCTTGAGCATGTGCACCGAGAAAGAGGGGTGTAAAGGAGCAGGAGAAAAGTGAGCTTAGAGAGGTTCAAGGGCACTGCCAGGCTGCACTACTTGAACACCAGAATCATGACGGTTTTCTTTTTCTTTAATATAACATAGATACTAGAAAAGTAAGGAACCCTGAGGATACAGGTCAATGGTAAGAGAGCTTACCTAGCATGCACAAGGAATGGATTGAATCCCAGCAGGAGAGAAGGGGGAGGGCAAACAGACATATCAGAAGTATACTGTTCAGTAAATTTTTCATAATCTATACACCCATGCACTCAGCACTCCGATTAAGAAACAGCAAGCCCAGTGTGGTAGCACACACCTATAGTCCCTGCTACTTGGGAGGCTAAGACAGGAGGATCATAAGTTCAACTCCAGCCTGAGTAACTTAGCAAGACCTTGCCCCCCACCCCTTAAAAAAAAGACAAGGGATTTAGTGGGGAAAATTTTTTTTTTTTTGGTACTGGGGATTGAACTCAGGTCCTTGTGCTTGCGCAGCAGGTGCCGAAACCACTGAGCTAAATCCCCAGCCCCTAGTGGGGAAAATTTTTTTTAAAAGGAAGCAACATGCTTGGACCCCAGGATCTCCCTATGTCATTGCTTCCAGTCACTCCCTCTCTCAGGATCATCCCCATTTATATTTTGTATAAATGAAATGAAAAGACAGTGTCTGTCTTCTTCCCGTAAGCACTTGGTGTTTGAAATTCTCTTATGACACCGTGTGTTCATTGTCATTGATGTCAGTGGGCATTTGGGCAGCTTCAGGCATTTGGCTGTTAGAAACAGGGCTGCTGGTTCCAGTCAAGTGCATGGTGTTGGCAATGTGTGCCTTTCTGATGTCTGTAGCCAGATGTGTCAGACCTGCAGCCCACACGTTGGACCTGCCTTCTGCCTGGGCCACACTGAGTAAAGAGGAGTTGTTTGAGGCTGTATACAAAATATATAATGTAATTAATATATACAAATAACAAAATTTCCTTTAAGTATTTTTTAAAATTACAACACAGGCGTTTCCAATCCACAAGCCACAGGTTGGACACCTCTGGTCTATGGCTAGGAGTGGGATTGCTCAGTGTAGGAACATGGGTAAATCATTTTATTCCAGTTTTGGAATAACTGAATTGGGAGTTTCTCACCGCTAGGAGATGAAGGTGACAGTTTCTAGGAGACCGATGCAGGAATAGTTCCAGCAGTCAGGATCATTTTTGCCAGGTTGTGGCCCGGATGGTCTCAGGAAGTGCAGTCACCTCTAGGCTCCAGGGTCTCCCTGGCTCCCACAGCAGGGCAGGCTGAGCTGTGGGGAACCTTTAGCTCTCAGACCCTCTGACATTAGAGAAGAGTTTCTTGGGCCAAACTGCTTAATGGGATCTCAGCTTCCACCCTTCTTGCTGCAAACAAACCTGGGCTATTGTGACACTACTTTATCCTTTGTGTCTACTTCTCTGTCCTCCCGTCCTTGACAACCTCTGGATTTCCATGTAATCCTCCTAGAGATCTGGAGGAAAAGCCCATTTCTCATTTGGGCTTTTGAGCCATATGAGACATTTTTGTTCTCTTGTTACAGCATGAAAAAATATCAAGGATTGAGTTTTTGGATGGCTTACTGCTCCTTCGCCCATAAAGTCTCTTTTTTCTTTCAGTTTTTAACATCTGGAATTATAGTAGTTAAGTGTCATGTGATAGGGTTTGGTAGGCTTGATAAAAATAACAAGTTTAAAAGGTCCACTTTGATGAGATAGTACGTAGGTTTTTTGAACTGTTAAGGCTATTTTTAAGGCTGTGTCATTTTCATAAGTAAAAGCTTATGTGTATTAAGATCTGGGTTTTTCTATTAAACATGTAGAATTTCATTTTCCCTGGCCACCTTCTCTTCTTAGCCTCTGCCTTTTCATCTTCTTCGGTCTTGTTCATCATCCTTTTTCTATTTTTCAGGAACATCTTGTCTTCTTTTTTTATCTAACTCCAGCAGCAGGAACATTAGGAGGACAGAGAGAGTGTGGTCTTGGATAGCCTTCTTTTGCTTGTCATTTTCTGTAATCAAGTTCCTAGTCACTCAGGGCTTAGTGGCTGGTATGGGCTTCTTGTTTATCCTCCTTCTACCTCAGTGCTGTTCAGTAGAAATATAACCTGAGCCATGCCTATGATTTTTTTTTTTTGGTACCAAGGATTGAACTTGGATCCTTGCGCTTGCGCAGCAAGTGGCAAAACCACTGAGCTAAATCCCCAGCCCTGCCATGCCTATGATTTTAAATTTTCTAGTAACTACATTTAAAAATTTAAAAAGAAACAGGCGGATCCAGGTCTCAGTTTCCTAGGAAGATAAAGATATACATTTCTAAACTCTTAGGCACCTCATAGCACCTCTTCAAATTACATAAAATAAATTATTAATGAACTACTTTATATTCTTCTGTTCATATTAAGCCTTCAAAGCCTGCTCCCTGTTCTTTGCAAGTGAACTCACATGCTGCAGAACAAACTAGAAAGAAATGAATACATTATCTACTGTGCCCTCATCTGTTGTAGACATGTATATTAGGTTGTTTAGTTTTCACTAGTGGGGCCTGCCCCTCTCTTCTTTCTCCCTCTGAAATTGTGCTCATCCTTCAGGGACCCATTCACACATCACCTCGGAGGGAAAGCTTCCCAGATTTCCTCTGGTGGACCTGTGGCTCCCAGCCCAGGACACTCAAGGCCAACAGCAGCTCCAAGGTCATGTTATTCACTACTTTGAGGATTTGAATATTTTCAGTTTTCCTGGTAGATCATTCATTTGAAGAGGAATAAGAGTGTCTTGTTTATTTTATTTACTTATTTTTTTGGTACTGGGGATTGAACTCGGGACTTTGAGCTTGTGAGGCAGGCAGCATCTTGTTTATTTTTATATTCTCAGTTCCTGGTATAGGAAAATAAGTGTTTATTTAAAGGATTATCAAGTGAGTGAAGCCGATTATAAAACAACACAGAGTGCCTTTTTTCACCTGAGGTTTTATAAGAAACTTTCTTAATAAAAAGCAGCCATTGGGCTGGGATTTAGTTCAGTGCCCCGCCACCTGCCTTGCAAGTGCAAGGTCCTGAGTTTGATCCCCGGTACCGAAAAAAAAAGCAACCATTGTATTAAGAGTTAACTTCTCTCCTATGCTCCTGGAATTTTTCTAGCTATAGACCATTCTTAGGAGAATGGAGAAAAATAAACACCTCAGCTGTTCGTTGTTGTGAGGCTTCATCCCCAGCAGAACTCAGTGCACAGAAGGCTGGTGTGGACAGCACGATGTCAGTCATGGTAAGAGGTGTACGTGCAAAGGGAAGAGGCTGGCGGGATAGTTGAGTGTTAGCATGGGTTTCCCTGGCTTGTAGAAGACACTTAGTCTTGTCAATTTTCTTACTACTTTTGTGTATTTTCTAAAGTTCCTGACCATATGATAACAGAGTTTTTAAAAATGTTTCCTGGACAAGGCAAAATGGAGTTCTAAAGCCTGGTCACACTGTGCTGTGAGGCAGAGGGGAGTTGACTTTTTGTTTTAAAATTGAGCTTCCTTCACTGTGCCACAGGGGACCAGGAATCTCTGTGTTGAGCCCCCTCGGCTTTGCCCCGGGAGTGAGGCAGTGGTGTGACTCTGGCTCTCAAACCTGAGCGTCTCTTCTTGCCGCCATGGCCACCTTGGGAATGGACAGGCTCCCAGCAGGTCTGGAGGGTGAGGGGAGAAGCTAGTGCACTCCCAGCTCATGGATGCTCTCCTGAGCTAATCTAAAATGGTCTTTCTGGATTTTTTTCTTCTTAGTAGCTAAATAAATCAGAGTTGTTTGAATTACGTCTGATAGAATATCACATGCTAATTCTTCCTCATCAGTTACTGCTGTATCCAGCCCTAGTTTTATTTTAGGATTTAAACTTGTGACCTCACACAAATTTTATCCTTTTCCCAGTAAGAATCCACTAGTAGGTACTGAAAGATGTAGATTTGATAATTTATTTATTTAGTCCCTTAAGCATTTCCCATCAAGTTACTTATTAGTTACAAATTTAAAGAAACCTGGCTTACATCACCTTAACCAACTGATCAAATTAAATGTCACCAGTCTTGGGACAGCTCAAGTTATATGTCCCCAAGAAAATACTCTGAGAAGTCTCACTTCTGTAATATTCCAGCCAAAAATGCATGACCATGACTTAAATTTAATCATGAAGAAACACCAGACAAACTCTAACTGAGGGACATCCTACAAAAGCAACTGTACTTTTCAAAAATGTCAAGGCCATGAAAGATAAAGGAACCATTTCAGATTAAAGGAGGCTAAGGGGACATGACAGTGAATTCCACCTGTGATCCTGAACTGGATCAAAGGACAGAAAACTTTGTTGATTTGTTCTAAGGCTATCATTGGAACTACTAGAGAAATCTGTATAAAGTCTTTTCATTATTCCAGTATCAAATCAATGTTAATTTCTTGATTTTTATCATTATACTATATTTGTATAAGGAATGTCCTTGTTTTTAGGAAATACTAAAATATTCAGGATAAATGTCATATCTTTTTAACTTACTTTCAACTGGGTTAAATAAATAATACATGAACCTCATACTAATAGAATGACAGTTAAGTGTGATAAAATGTTAATAATGGAGGAGTCAGGGCAAGGGATAGATGGGACTGCTTTATACTATTTAGTTTTTCTATAAATCTGAAGTGATATTAAAAAAGGAAATATAGGGCTGGGGATTTAGCTCAGTGGTTCTGCTGCCTGTCTCGTAAGTGCAAGGACCCAAGTTCGATCCCTGGTACCAAAAAAAAAAAAAAAGGAGATATAAAAGTGCACCACTGAGGATGTATCTCAGTGGTAGAATGATTGCCTAGCATGGGCAAGCCCTGGGTTCCATCCCCAGTACTAGAAAAAATGGGAAAAAAATATTTGGAAAAAACTCTGCCAACCCCAGGTTCTAGCACTGTGGCAGTCTAACTTCAGGAGCTGTGGTGGAACATTCCCATGTCTACCCTTATAAGGCCCATTACTAAAGTCATTTCCCTTGTCATTGAGGTCTTCTCATAATTTGTTTTGCCTCCTCTGGCCACAGCAGAAAAGTGTGGAAGATAGTGCACTAATCATATGGCTTCAATAGATCACAAGGTTTCTTCTATCACCACCTGCTGTTGCTGGTCCCAGAAGCTTCATGGTTTCTGGTCCACCAGCTCTGACCCACACATTTCCCTGAATCAGATACAGCTGTCCTGTGAACAAGACTTCCCAGACAGGATGTGGTCTTTAAATGATATTTAAACACAGTTGAAGATGTTTATGCACAGAACTCATTGTACTTTGGGGTGCTTTGGTTGAGCCCTTGGCAGAAAATAAGAGACAAGCCCTCAGAGGGTCCATCTTACTCAAAGCCAGCGTTTGCCAGTTAAAGATGAGTCTGTCCTCCATCTTGGTAGCACCTCAGGTTGTATGTTTGATCAACAGTTCCACGTCTTCTCTCTTCTACATGGAGACAGCCCCCACCTTTTCAACCAGTTTGGGCAAGCTTCTATGCTTCTGGCTGGATTCTCTTGGATTCAGAGGAGATTTCCAAGTTAGACCCTGCGATAGGTCTGTGGGTGAGTCTCCTTATCAGCACTTGCAGTTTCTCCAAAACTGCCCAGCCCCAGGGAGCAGTAGGGCAAAAACAGTGATGAGGCTTCTGTTTCTCTTTCCTGTCCTCCCAGTTCTGCCTTCCCAGAATTTCCTATTCCTACCCTGTTTGCTACACTCTTGTGTCTCTCCTACTCTCTCCTTTTATGTTCTTCAATTCATCTTCTCCCACTTATTCTCACTGTCTTTCTCTCCCTAAATGACCCTTGGTGTTAGCACCTGCTGAACAGGCTAAGCTGTTTCTGGTTCTTATTTTGAAAAGTAGATAAGTGAGAATCATAACATATTTGTGGAGGAAGGGCACTAGAAATGTTCTCACCCAGTGCTGCTTTTTACAGATCACAAACATCATCCAAGAGATTAAGTAAATTGGCCACTATCAAATTGCCAAACGGTTGAGCACTTTACCTTGTTCCTTTGTTCTGAAGAAAAAAATAAGCAAACCGATACAGTTACTCTCTTTCTTTTAGTGCTGGGTGGAACCACTGGATTCGATATATCTACCCTACATACACATACAACAGTCTTGTTTGAAAAAATGATCTCCATGTGCCTGGTGCAGCCTAGACCCTTAAGAAGTGATCAGTACTTGTATTTGGCCACATTTGGGGAGGCCACATCAGTGTCTTGTTAGGACTGTGTGATTTTGGGTTACCTTTCTGATGGAATTGATTGCCAGCCACTGATGGGTGTCCTCATGTGTGTCCCTTCATTCACTCAGCAGGTGCTTGCTGAACATCTTTTACATGCTAGGCACTGTTTTAGGTTCCTGAGTTACAGCAGTGAACAAATGGACAGTCTGTTATAAGAATCCCATGTTTGGGAGCAGAGGCCTGTCTGTTGTGGGGAGTGCGGGGATGAGAGCAGCAGGAGGCCAGTGTGGCTGAAGTGGAGTAGAGTGAGGAGGAGGGTATAAGAGATGAGTGGGAAGGGGAAAGAGACCCTTTGGCATGAAGACAGTAGCTGCCCTGCTCACAGCTTGCCACTGTGGTAAAATATTGGAGAAATACTATTTGGAATTGCTGAGCATGTTCTTGTTTGGAAGGCTCAGAATCTACTGCCTTGACATCTTTAGACTTGTAAAAAGCAGGAGGCTGAATAATAGTAGTGATGGCATCTCTGTGAGAGAGATACTATACATAGCAGAATCACTGAAGTGCTTGCATCTTGGTTGATGGGCAGAATTAGTAGTGTAGATTGTGCACTTATACAGAAATATTTTTTTAATTTTTATTACAGAAGAACCTCATCACTTTGTTCAGTTTGTAGGAGAAGTTAAGACTATTTAGGTTAACATTTGTTGCTAATTGCATGTGCTTTTCTCTAGCTGTGAAAAACTTGCTGGAGAGCAGGATTTTTCAAAGTATGGCACTCACCCACATAACTCAGGAACCTGCTTTAAAAATGCACATTGGGCCTACTCAGCTGGTGCTACTAGGTTTATGTTCTGGCTATGAAGTGTAGAGGGCTGTACATGATCACATTGGAAAATCTCTGCCAGAGACAACAGTGGAGGTCTTTATAATTTAAACTGAACAAATATTAGAATCTCCTGAGAGATGCTTGTGTTGAAGTCTCGGCACCAGTGTCCTCACCTGTATTTTTTCTGTGGTTTTAATGTCATGGTATCACACTCCTAAAGGTCAAATGAGACACTGTCCACCCAGTGGAAATAGGAAAAGATGATATGGTGGAATGATTTCCTGGGGAGGAGTGACGTCCCTCCCCAGTGATGGTGGGGAAGAAGTGAGGTATATTGGTCATCTTCCCCATTGCTGGGATAAAATACCTGACACCCATCACTTAAAGGAGGAATGGTTTGCTTTGCCTCACGGTTTCAGAGGTCTCAGTCGGTGATTGGCTGGCTCCAAGCAGAAACATCATGGTGGAAGGGTATGTCGGAACAAAGCTGCTCATTTCATGGCAACCCACCCAGATCCCACTTTGCTAATCCTCTAAATGCTTCTGAAGTCAATCAAGTTGACCATCAAGATTAACGATGACTTAACTAAATAAGAAAGTAAAGGAGAGATGACAAGAAACTTCGAGGTAGACTTTTACAAGATGGGAAAGGAAATGGGAGGAGGGAAAGGCAAGGAGGTAATGGGATGAAAATAATCAAAATATGTGATATGCATGTACCAACCTACCAAAACAAATCCCATTATTCTGTATTACTAATATGCACCAATAAAAATTAATAAATAAAGATTAACTATCACAGATGTTTAAGTCAAGGTGACTTGTGTGGATCCAGGAATGGATGCTCACCTCCCACTTCTGTGTGTACTTGTACACTCCTTCTCCCAGCCGCCATTTCCCTGCTGCGAGTACTTCCCCTGGCCTGGTCGGGCTGTGGGTTCAAGCCCCTGCCTGTCTTGTGCAAGTGAGGACATGACCACATACCTTAATGAATCAAGAGTTCTTGAGATTGTGCAACCCAAACAAAACATTAGATATGAAAATGCAACCTAAACAAAACAGATAAATTTTAGATATGAAAGCCCAAGTGTCATTAATTTCAGTCCCTAAAGTTTAGTTTTTGCAGTAAGTGTTATTACCCTAGTTACCTTCAAAGACTTTTGAAAATAAGATAGTGTTGAAAATTTAATGTGTGTGGTGATTATGCCAGTGGTTAGAACTGGGGTAATTTT